GAAAGAGCTCTAACACTTACTGAGCCCCAGTCGTGTGTGGGGGGAAGATACTTCCTAGTGCACAGCCTCATGCAATACTTACAAATCCATGACAGAGACACCCTTACTCCCATCTTACAGATGACAGAAATACAGAGAAGTTAAGAGTTGCTCCAAATCACTGTATTGCTCTTGGGTTCATGTGCCAATAACATCAAACAAATTGTCAGTGACTTAAATGAGTTTATTTCTTTCTTAGGTTAGAGACCCAGCAGTAGGCAGTGCAGAGCTGCTATGACAGCCTCATAGTGTAAATGGAGACCGAGGTTCCTCCTACCTTTCTGCTTTACAATGTAGACTGCAGTTTCCTTTCCAAGGTCACCTCATGATCCAAAAGGGCTGCTAGAACTTCAGAAATCCCATCTACATTCCATTTCACACAAGACAAAGAAGAAAAAGGGCCAGAGCTCCCTTTAAAGGCACCTTTCTGGGAGCCCCATATTATGTTCTGATTTTTGCATCATCGGCCATAATTAGAATCCTAGCCATAGCGTGGGATGCTGGGAAATGTACATTTTTAGTGGCATGGCAATATACCTGGTTAAAATCAGAGTAGTGTAACTGGGATGGAAGCAGGAAGAGAGGTAGGTATGAATATCGGTGGAGATAACCAGCCCTCTGCCTGCGTCAGCTGGGAAGTGATAGAATCAAAACTTGGACCTAGCCAGTGGTTCCTCCTCAGGCCACCAAACCCTTCCTCCTGTCCCTGTGTCCTCCCCAACTACCTATCTCTCAGGGAAGTCGACATCAAGGACACAGGCACGGTCATCAGTGCTATGAAGCTGGGTTACCTGCATTTTTAGAGCGTACGCTTTCTCTCCCTTGAGCCCAGAACTGCCTAGCAGCGCAGGGTCCTTGGCCATGGGACTCATGCAGCAGGTGCAAATGGGTCAGTGTTTGCAGGTCCTGGGCCCCAGGCCAAGGGCTTCCCACGTTTGTGTGTCCTCTGATCCTTCTGAGTTGCAAAAATGATCACTGGTGGGCGTAGATGTTTCTAACCAGCAACATCTCAAACACTTCCAGAGAATGAGCCTGAAACTTTGATGGGGGCTAGATCCCCTCTGAGATCCCCGCTGGTTCCAGGATTTGGTGACAGCACCATCTGGTCCAGTGGCCCAGCTCTGTGTCCCAGTAGCACACAGAACTAAGGGAAGAGTGTCCTTACCAGGGAGCAGATGGTCACTGAGAAATCAGGCTGAATTGTAAATGTTCACGAAGGGAACACACAGAATAGGATTTTGAAAGATGAGAGCTGACACTTTCAGTCATCAGTGTCGGTGGTTACTTTGCAAGAATGGAGCAGTGTTGGGGAACCTCAGGGAGAAGAAAGAGCAGGTGCTGGAGTGAGTCCAGGGGTGCTTTCTTGAGGCGTGGAAGATGGGCTTTGGGTGTGCTGGGGACAGCTGGAAGGTCCCTGCTGTCCCAATGCTGGACACTCGTTTGGGAAAGCCCTGAGCTTGAGCTTCTGGAGGGAGTCATGGTCCTCTCATCACCCACTTCTGGTGCTGGTGAGTGAGCTGGGCACAGCCTGATGTGAGAGCCAGGCATCTAGAGGAGTGGACCGAAGTGGATGCCCTGGGAGGGGCATGCCTCAGAGGCCACGGATTCCTGGAAGCCTCTCAAGCCTGTCACAGCCTGAGGGTAGACAGGTCATAAAACTGGGACTTAGGAGTCCTGGACTCACCTCTGACCTGCTTGGTGAGCCAGTTAAGATTTAAGGGGCCGCCAACAAATTCCACCAACCAGAGAAACAATTTAAAATAATAAAAACAACTGTTCCCCAGTTTTAGAGGCCAGAAGTCCAAGATCCAGGCATCAGCAGGGCTGGCCACTTCTGGGGGCTCTGAGGGCCCATCCCTAGGCTCTCCTGCCTCTGCTACTGCTAGCTGTCATCCCTGGACCCTCCTCATCTTCTAGCTACATTGCTTCAGTCTGTGCCTTCATATTCGCAGAGCTTCTCTGCTGTGTGTCAAGTCTCTCTCTGTTTTTCTCTCACAAAGACACCTGTCACTGGGTTTAGAGCCACCTGTGTTATCCAGAAATCCCCTCTCAGGGCTGGGGATTTAGCTCAGTGGCATAAATGCCTGCCTTGCAAGCATGCGGTCATGAGTTCGATCCCTGGTACAGATAAAAAAAAAAAAAAAAAAGAAATCCCTTCTCTAGAGTCTAAGTGAACAGCATCTGAAAACAGTTTCTTTCCAAATAGTCACATGCACAGGACCTAGGAGTGAGGATCTGTAGCCATATTAGTTTAAGACCTGCTAGTGAACCCATCACAATGACCTTAGCTGTGTCCTTCCTCCTCTGCCCTCTGGATTCCCTCCTTGTAAACATGAGGATGGTAAGAGCTCACTCACTTGCCTTGGTCTGCAAATGTTTACCTTCACAGACACGTGACTTCATGGGTCCACACCTGTAGGCATCAACTCAGTAGCCAGCGTCACACTGACCATAACCCTGGGCCCACTCCCTCAAGCCAAGCCCTGCAGGACAGGCTGGGAGTGGGAGGAGCTTGACAAACAGCCTGCTCAGGGCTGGGACTACAGGGAGTCAAACAACACTCTTACTTCAGGTCAGAATTTTAAGGAGACAAAAACTATCCTCAGGAATCAGGATAAAAAGACTTTAATGCCATATTTTTAAAAATCACAATGCTTTTGGCATTGATTTTGAATTTAAGAAAGTACTGCAATAGCATATATTATTTTAAAACCTGGATAAGATACAGGGGATGGAAAGAGGGCTGCTGCTTGTCTGTTGTCACCTGTCTCTTGTGACCTTGCTGTCTTCTGCTGCCATGAGCTGTTTCTGCTCTGCGATGCCCTCTGCTGTGCCGCCCTGCCTTGGACCCAGCTGAGTACGGACTGAAACCTTCACAAACAGTGAGCCAAATAAACCTTTCCTCCTGTCACTTGGGGTGTCAGATCTTTTATCTCAGCTATGAGAAAAGTAACTAAGACATCAACAAATGTGAACAACAAATGTCAACCAACAGTGAACGGCCCCACGGTGTCTGACACACAGGACAGCCTCTTCACTAGCCCCAAATAAAAATATTAAGGAATGAAACAGTGATCTTGGAGACATCGTTACAAGTGTCAGAGGGTTTCTTCCTGAAATACCATGAAAAATGTTCTTCCTGAGGCGCATCCTTGCGTCCTGCTCCACCTTGTGTGGTTCTTGTCTGTGAAAAAGGCTCCATGCCCGCGAAAAGACATTCCAGAAACTTCTCGGATGCCTCATGGTTCCATCTCCATTAAGCTTTCTCTGGGTCATTTAATGGTTCATCTTCCTCAATCTGTCAGTTTACATAGCATACTGTCTGCCTTTATGGATTTTTTTCTTAGTTTTTGTATTTTCCTCAAATTTTATACTATTTTTAGCTTAAACTACAGAGTACTCCTAGACCCAATAATATTGAAACTGTGACACCATTAAAAATAATATTTACCAAAATAAGATGAGTCACTTCTGTTCATTATTCAACACCTTGAAAATTTTATATATGCATTGATTTTGGTATGAAATTGGGGTTTTTATTTTCAGTATTTTCTAACCAGGTGCCAAGATGATCTAAGGAGGTGTTTACAAAATGTGTCCTAATGATTTGCCATTTTTTGACAAATCAATAAATTATTTGTGTAAAGCTGGCTCCAATTTGAGGTTAAATAATGAATGAGTGTGTGTATATACTTCACTATGAAGCCTTTTCTTTAAATGAAATCAGGTCCACAAGGACCCTGGGGCTGGGGCTGGTGGGGGAATTTAACTCTGAAGAAGAGGAAGAATCATGCGCCTGCTGAATGGTTTCAGCTGGGGGTCAGAAGTGAGACCTGGATGTCACCGCATTCACCAGGCCATCATCTCCTGAGTTCTGAATATCCACGTCCTGGATGAAACAGTGCGCTTGTGAAATGTAGTCACATGCCATGCATTCATGCACGGTCCTACAGGAGAAACAGGCCAGGGACTAGTGACACCCATGGCAGGTGTGGGGACTGCAGATACATGAATTGCTCTGTGAGAACACCAAGGCGCCAGTACCACACTGGTCACACCATGCAATACGCCATTAGTCCTGTGCCACCTGGCCCCTGGGGCAGTGAAGAGGGGCCAGAGCCCAGGGAACTCAAGGTCCAGGTCAGTTAGCTGCAATGGAAGTACTGGGCTTTGGACCAGAGGGGCTCCCCTCCCCACCAGGACAGCATTATGCATGAGACAGAGGTATACAGACACAGAGAGGACGTTCCAGGTCTGAGGATGACATTCCAGGTCCCCGGCAGAACCTCAGGGGCCCTGTGGTCAGTGGCACAAAAGTTAGGACCTCAGTGTTATGATTTATGTCTAGATGTCCCCTCAAATCCTCATGCATTTTTAGATGGGGCTTTTTCCAAGGTAGCTGAATCTAGAATTCGTGAATGATTCGTAGTGCGATGATAGGATTCAGGCTGGGTGACTGCTAGATCAGCCCACTGATTGGACTGGCACTGCCCTGATCCCAGCAGTCTGGATAAGATAAAGGGGGCAGAAAGAGGCTTATTTCCCCCTTTTTTGCTCTTGTTGCTTTTGCTATCTTCTGCTGCCATGGATATTGCCCCTCTGCCATGCACCCCTCCTGCCTTGGAGCCAGGACTGAAACCTCTACAAACCGTGAGCTAAATAAACCTTTCCCTCTTTAACTTGGACTGTCGGGTATTTTGTCTCAGCAACAAAGACACCAGTTCTGCTGGAGAGCATCCTCACCTCATCCCATCCTCACATGTCCCTACAGGGACACACAGCAGAGGGCCAGCTGTCCCTATCTTACAGGTTCTTGAGAGTTAGCAAAGTCAAGGGATTTGCTCAGAATCACAGGGCAACTTTCAGGACAATATCTGTCTGTGCATCTTTTGCCAATATTATCAGAAAAGGTGGTCAGAGAGGCTGAGACGAGGTGCTAACACAGCACACAGGGCACCCACCTTTCCAGAGATGGTCTTGATCTGTTTGGAGCTCAGAGGCTCGAAGTCCACACCGATGTAGCCCTCCATGGCTGCCAGCAGGTTCCTTCGCAGGCAGCGAGAGGAGTTGGCCTCGGTGCGCACCTGTTCCCACCAGGATGGCTCGTACCAGCCGGGGATGATCCACTGATATTTGCTGCCAAACATGTTCTCTTCATAGGCCTGCAAGAGAGGAGGGGCACAGTGAGGGCACTGAACGCAGGCCCGGCGTGCGCCATGCCCTCAGGGCCAGGCTTCCTCTCCCAGGAGGACTTGCTCTCCCGGCTCGGTCTCCTCCACTCCACCTCTCAAGGGACCCAAGGTAGTTTATGAACAACTTGTATAATAAAATAATCAATACTGTAAAAATAAAAACCTATTTTTAGGGACCTGGGATAATAGAAATCACTCTGTGGAGCCTGGAGGTAAAGGGAACAGTAGACAGACAAGCAGACCAAAGGTTCTGGCAGTGTATATAAATAAGCTGCATAGTTCACCATGAGCTTCCTGGAGGCCCAAGGGAGAAGGACAGCAGGATTATTAACACAGCTTTCGTTCTCAATAAGGAGAACATATACCAGCTCTTTAGGGAAATGCCAGGTTCCCGTCAGTGGTGCAAGGGTTTGATGGTGACCAGAGCACATGTGGGTGGGTAGAGATGCCAGAAACCCATGAAGGGCGGTTTAACCCAGAGTTAACCCAGCGTTTGGTGCCTCTCTAGAGGACTCTCTGGCTGTCAAAGGACATGGTGGGGATAACTGATGTCTTAGTAGGGCATCCCTTGGTATGGAACAAGGCCAGTGTGAGAGGCCAGAGGACAGTGAGGGCCAAGCAGGTGCTGTGTGTGGCTCAGGTGGCTCTGGCTCCTCATTTTGGCAGCAGTACTCGAGCCCCATCCACTTCCTCATGTTACAGAAAAGCTGCTGGGGTGCCCAAGACCATCCATGTCCCAGAAGCTAACTGCTCAAACCCCCTTCTGCCTAAGAAAGGCCACCTGTGGCATGAGTCCTCCTTCCCAAGGGTGGGCTAGAAGGTTTGTGCCTTCACTTAGGCTCCACCCAATGCCTCTGTGAAGGCCATGATGATCAGTCATTGTTCAATAAAAGAACACTTCAAATCTCTCAAAGCAGTGGCCACACTGCCTCTTGTCTAGGCTTCTACCACAATACAAGACTATCACCTCCCTCATTCTAAACACTGTACTTCTCATAATGCAACCTTATATATAATCATTTTTCCAGTATTATAATGTTGCCTCAATTTAAACTGGAGAACACAGAAAATTCTCCTATTTCAATTACTTTAACAAATTCTCCATTGAACAAAATCAGGCAGGGGCTAAGATACTTAGAGAGGTGGTTCCTGGGCTATTATCTCTGTCTTTCAGAGGAGGAAACTTGGCCCCAGGGACTGAAGATTTTGCCCAACCCAGCTAGTAAAAGAAGGAGTCAAGACACCTTGCTGAAGCTCCCCTCTGTCCTCAGTAAAGTAAAGCCTCAGTCTAGGGGGCTTCCTAGGAGGAGGCCACTCAAGGGTGGGAAGGTATAGGGCAGGGCCCAGGGCCTCTGCTCAGAGGCAAAAGCAGGGGGATGCTCTCCCTGGGGATGAGGACCACGGGGGATGAAGGCGGTGCCGAGCTGGGTGATGCCAGGAGCTGGCCCTGCTGCCACGGCTCTCCCACCTGCCGTGCCCACGAGCACTGTCCGGACCACGGGCCCTGTACCCACGGGAATGGCAACGCATTCGGGTTTGTACATTGGTCAGTTTCAGCAAGCTGAAACTTTTTCTAACATAACTTCTGACTTTTTTAGAAAAAAATGAAAAAGAAGCCCGCCGGGCAGCCTTAGGTGCCAGCACACAGCCCGCAGACCTCCTGGCCTGGGCTGGCTTAGAGTTTCATGAGACCGTATGGGCCGCGCCTGCGCCTCTAGGTTCTGGACAGCAGAGCTGCTCCTCCTGGCCCTTCCTCCTCTTGCGGGTGCACAGTTCCATTCACATCGCCATCACAGCCACACACAGCCCTGCTCTTGGGCTAGGAGAAGCCCGAATGCCAGCCTTGCCCACGGAGCTGTGCGTGGCGTTTTAGACCTACTGCGTATCCCTCTCTGTTCCTTCCTGTCTGTGCTGACCCTTCTCACTGCCCTCACGTCCCTCTCCTCACAAATCTGCTGCTCTACCTCTGCTGGGCTGGGGAAGCAGGGCCCCGCCACACCTCTGAGCAAAGGCCCACAGTGCCGGGTGAACGGGTGACAGGCTCGCCAGGCCCAGGGGGGTGGGACTCGGCCACATCGTCCACTGAGGTAACAGGTGGAGATGCTACTGAGCCTCCGTCCTGGGGCCGCTGGTTTGGGGGAGCGGGGATTGCTGTGCCAGGGGCCCTGTCCTGGGGTGCCAGCCTGTGTCCTCTGCCAGCTAGGGCCTCCTGGAGGCGGGACCCATCTGCTGTCCCTGGACCTCCTGTGCTCAGCCTGGTGCCTGCTGTACAGAAGGTGCTCGAGAAGCGGCTGTGTGCAGATTCAGTGACTGTACCATGTGCCCGCGTCTTTGGTCACCCTGGTTTTCATTTCCCCATCAGAGGCAGACAGAGGTGTCTGATCCAAGGCCACCAGATGGGCTCTTCATCTGACAGGTATCCTATATTCCCATTCTTCAGACTCAAAGACTGCTGGTTCTTATGAGTTGTCAACAAGATGGGAATATTTAAAACAAAATCCAAATTCCTTTTCTGATTAGGTTTCCTTTTGCCTCCTCTCTTCCCACACAAGATTAAGGTTCCCGACAAGAGGAGTGATGACTCCACACTGGCAAAGCAGTTAAAAGCTGGACGAAGGCTCCCCCCTGGGCAGCTGTACTTAAAAACTACAACCCCACCATGCTAACAGGGCAGGGATCACTGCTTCCACCTTAGAGACCAGGCAGCTGGGACCAGAGATGTCAAGTGACCTGCCTAAGGACACACAGCTGGCAGTGCTGAAACCGGAATGCGGCTCAGAGTGTTGGCAAATTGAGACCAGACCAACCATGTGCTGGAGCCAACACGAACATTTTGGCACAGGGATATAAATAGGCCTGGCACGAGCTAGCGGCCGCCCTCCCACTGTGTGGCAGCTGCAGTCTCAAGTGCACAGCAACACACTGCCTTTAGACAGCAAAGCCATGGTGGTCTCTGTGCGGCCATGAGAAGCACAGAAAGGCACTCCTGGGGTCTCTGCTCTGTGCAGCCCCCCCTCCAGCACTGCCAGCTTGGCCCGGGTGAAGTCTGAGCACACTCTCCTCAGGGGCTCTGTCCTAACCAGATGGGACTGCGTGTCCTTGGGAGCAAGTCCCAGCTGAGGGTCCCACACAGGCCCTTGACCCTTGATGAGGGGCTGATGCAGACACTAAAAGAAGCCTCACCTCGAAGCACCTGCTTCTAACAACAGCAGAGGGGCTGGGTGGGAGGAGGGACAACGCCCTGCACTGTGTGGGAGGCAGTCAGCTAAACCACAGCCACAGAAGCCACCAGAAGCCACCTCAGCACATGGCCCAAAGCAAATTTTGCAAACAGGAGAGACCCTGTTTCCAGTGGAGAGCAGACAGACACTCGGCCCTGATGTGCACCTGCAGTCTGAGGTCACCTTGGTCCCCTGGCAGCTTTACTCACACTGGTGACCTTAGTTAGAAGACTGAGACCCCCCAAAATCTCTCCCTTTTGTTCCCAACACATGGCATTCCCCAGCTGTGCCTCAACTACCTTGAACGTAGGAAGCTCAATTTGTTCTAAAGTAACTTTCATTAGAACCATTAGATTTCACTTTCTTGGATTTAACCAAATGTTCCAGCCCATTCTGATTTTTCATACCATCTGACATAGTTCACGACTTCTACAGTTTTTGAAAGGTGTAGTAACTCATGGCCAACCTGTAACAAGATGGTGAGCTGTTGGTTCTCCTGGGGAAGTGTGTGGCGCTGGTTTTCCTGATAGGAGCCTGGTTGTTCTCATCACCAGAGGAGCTTGATTCTCTGCTATTGCTGAGGATGGCTTCAGTTCTTTTCAGAGGAGCTTTGGTCCTCACTTTGAGCATCACTTCTTGGCCCTAGTGCAGACCCCTTAGCCTGCTGGCAAGATCCCGCTGGCACACACTTTCTAGCTATCACTGATTTCTGGGCCTTTCCAGTGCAGATCCTTGATACAGATTTGCATGAGACATTGTCAAGGGCTCTAGGCCTCCAGCTGGACTTGTGGAGAACATTGCCATGGGCCAGGTCTCTAGCTGTACTCACATGGGACATCATCCTGGGACCCAGGCCCTCAGCTGGATTCTTTGGGCCTCCAATGTGTGGACAGATCTCTGGCACTCTTCTGCATTTGACTCTTTGAGTGAATATTATAAAATAATCCTATAAATTATGTTCCCTATATTAAATCTGTTCCCTTGCAACCCCTGGCTACAACAGTGGCTATTTATAACCTCGTCCAAGTTACTGACATAAAGGTGAAAGTGACCAGAGACCCATGGTCCATCCCCAGAGACTACACCCAGAATAATGTCAGTGTAACAGGAGGCTGTTGGGAGGCAATAACTCACATAACGGGGCTGCCATTCTGTGGGATGCTGTCCTGAACTGGGTGGAGGAGGAGAGACAGAGCATCAGAAGGTTAAGACTTCATTCCTAGGTCAGTGCTCTCACTGTGTTACTAAGTTAGAAGATCATGACAAAAGCTCCTGTGCTGGGCCTCTAGTTCTTCATCTGTGAAATGGGGTGCTTACAGTTGCCTCATGGCGTTGTGCAAAAGATTAAATGAGAAATACTTTGTCATTTGTCGTGCACCACATAACTGAAAGGACTCAGGGTTAGATAATGAAGAGTTATAGTTCCTCCTAAATTCCAGACTCTGCGCCCTGCTTGCAGCCTTGATGGCTCCCAGTTCGCCTGGTGTCTGGCATCTCCCTCTGTGCCTGCGAACTGTGGGACTGAGCGTGCTGAGCAGGGGCTACCTACACTTTGCCAGCAGTCACTGTGGGTTGGAGGCTGAGTTCTGGCTCCCTTGGGGTGGCCTTTTGAACAGAGGGAGAAAGGAGCAGAAGTGTCTGTCCCCAGAAACCCAGGCTCCAGGCATGGCAAGACCAGGCAGGGAGAAACTTGGTGAATCACAGATGCAACAACCCCCGTGTTACTTACACAACAGAACACTTTTGCCGCCATGTGCTGGTCAAACTGGCCAAGGATGATCCTCACGTCGTTCCCCTGTGGACAGAAGGACAGGCAGGTAAAGGTGGGTGACATCACACGTCCTCTGGGGCTCAAGGCCAGGGGGAGAGAACACTCCTGGGCCTGGCTTCCACCTGGCTTGGGTGCGCAGGACCTCACCCCATCTGGCCACCTTGCTTCTCTGAGGGCTGCCCTGGCTCCCACAGCTGTTCTCCCTGGTCTGGGGCTAGGGGTGGGGTGGGAGAGGGAGACCAGGGGCAAGACTGAACCAGCTGGAGACCAACGTGGAAGGGGGGGCTTCAAGAGCCCTGGAACCACCCCTGTTCTCCTCCAGCTGGACAGGCAAATCCCAATAGGCCCTGAGACATTGTCTCATCTTCGCTTTCCATGCAAAGAGACAGGTCAGGAGAGGAAAGGCCCTTCCAGGGAGCTGGACAAGACCTCACCCGTCCTCCCAAAGTGTTTTAGACTGTTCTGTCTTCTTGATATGCATTTCCTGAAGACATTTTCAGAGTCTGCAGAACTTCCCTTGTAGGAGGAGTCTCTGCAAGCTTTTTCCAAATCTCAGCTCCACCAAACCTCAGGTGGCCTCTGGCCCCCTTCTCCCACCTCAGCCTCAATCTCCTCAGCTCAAAGGTAGGATAAGAGTGGCATCTACTTTATGGAATGCTGCAAGGACTCTGAGAAAATCCTTGTGAAGAGCTTAACACAGTGCCTGGCACACAGTAAATGTGTAAGAGCGAGCTAGTCTTTAGTATTTTATAATTTTCCCCGGCCTAATTTCTGAATAAAATATGTTTGAAAGCTTCATAAATGGGATTATGCTCATTATCTCGGTGTGGTTAATAGGTGAACATTGTAAAACAGCCCCTGTTATTCTTTCATTCATTCAACAAACATTCACTAAGCATCTGCCTGAGGCTCCCTTCCAGGTCAGGTAATAGGCTTCCGGCTGCCTTCTCAAGCACTGGGATACAGTCTGTTCCACAGAGAAGAACAAGCCACAACAGGACACACTGGGCAGCCACCAGGAGGCCAGCTGGGCCTTGACCCACACCTGCTCCCACACAGTGGCCCCGTGGTCTCTGCATCGAGGCCCAGCCTAGGAGGGCTGCTGCTCATCTCCTCTAGCAGACCTCAGGCCCTCAGATGCAGGAGGAGGAGAAACATGCCTTCAAAGATCAGTTTTTAGCATCTTTCAAAATTGGAAAGTGCTGACGGGGAGGCCATTTTCCTCGTCATGTACTTTAGCGGAATAAAAAAGGCTGCATTCTAAAATCATCCTCCGTTTGCAAGCAAGAATGGAAAGAAGAGGAAAAAACTTGCTCCGAAAGGACTTTAAAAGATCGTCAAGAGAGCAGTTGAAGGAAAGAGAGCCTTTGTCATTTCCACGTCTGCGATGCTATAAAAAGTTCTGAGCTGCTTCCGTTCCATGTGCAAGCTTCCAGGCACTCTCCGGGGTCCTTCTGCCTGTTGGCTGAAATCTTTTAGCATTGCTTACTTTTAATATTATCCATCTGTCCATCCATCTGTCTGTCTGTCTGTCCGTCCGTCCATCCATCCATCCATCCATCCATCCATCCATCCTACCAGGTGTGGCTTCCATGACACCCCACCAGCTCCCCTCATACCTCCTTGGTCAGCCTGCTCAGATGCCTCCCCATCAACCCCTGGGCCTTCTGTCCCTCCTTAAATGCTGTTGTCACGCTCTTGGCTCTTGGTGTCCACTGTACTCTGGTCAGCCCCACTCATGACAGGGCCACAGTTGTACGTGTCCTGTGGATTGTCAGACTTCCCTCCCCTGCCCATATCTGCCTCCAGCTGCCCACTGGACACACACTGGAATTCTCCCAGCATAGCCAGTGGAACAGACCCAAGTCAAACTCATCACACTTCCCAGGAAGCCCCTCCTCCTCCTGCTTTCCGTCTCTAGGAATGGTTCCATCAGCCACTCACTTGGGAAACTTGAGAGTCTGCTCAGATTTCCTTCTTTCCCTCACTTCCCACATCCAAGCTCTACCCAGAGCCTGTTGCTTCCATCTGCTCACTGGCTCTCAAATCAGCCCGTCCCTCCAGTCCTGCTGCTCCGGCGTTAGCCACCATCCTTCCTCGGTAAACAGCTGGATCTCCATCTCTAATTCTGCCCCGTGCACCCTGGCCTCCACGGAGTGGATGAAAGGTCCAGATCTGGCAGTGGGAACTCCTCCTATGGCTCCTGAGACTCGAAGATCAAATCCTGAGCTCTCTAGTAGAACACTGAGACTCTTTGCCAATGGCCTCCTGCTCTCTTCTCAATCACATTTCTCACTACTTCTGTGTGGCAGCAAGGATGTTTCCCCAAACATACCTGAAAATCAGCCGTCCATCCATCCATTCCCTCCCTCCCTCCCAGCCCCACTCCGTCCCTCTCTGAAAGCTCATCTACCCAGAGCCCTTCCCTCCTGGACTCCTAGTCTTCCCTCTTGAACTCCTAGTCTGCACAACCACTACCCACCTCTTCCCTAGTTCAGCCCCCTACTGTCCTGCTGCGCTTGGTGGCCATTTCCTCCTCTGGGAGCCGGGGGCACCCTTCAGCCCTCTCTATTCTGACACAAGTCCACTTGCTTTTCTGTCCCCTTGCTTTTCTGAGGGTAATGTGTTTCATCCGAGTGAACCCAGCTCCCAGCATGGGGCACGATGCACATGTTGGTGAGTGTGTGCTGCCTGCAGGATGCAGTGAGTGGACACTGTATGTAGCATGAGTACCACACTGGCACTGGTTGACCAGCAGCTGAGGTGTTACCATCCATGCAGTGATCACATCTCCTGCTAGTTCCAGGGCCTGGCATCCAATGGGTTCACCAGGTCCATTTCTCAAATAGACCAAAGGACCTACATCTTCATGGACAACCACCTGCTGACCCATAGATAACCACCTCTGTGTCCCTATTGCCAAAAACAACCTGGTTGTATGAACTCCGTGTTCATGTACATCCAGGCTGTTATGCATGGGTACAACAAGAGATCCTCCCTTCCTAGGAAGCTCAGGGGTTCTCTCCAAGGTGACACAGCCCCCAGGGCCAGAGCTCTCTCACTTTTGGGCTCCTGACATAGATAATGATCTTACTGGAGCCAGGTGGTCCCTGAGGCAGGAAGCTGCCCATGCCCATTCTGCTTCTGGAGAGCAAGTGGAAGGGCCAAATGCTGTCCAGCATGGGCCAGAGAGAAGGACCCACTCCCAGGGAGAGCAGACAGAGTCTGCAGTGCAGATACAGTGCGTACACCCCAGGCCTGAGGAGGAGTCCCCAGGGCATGAAAAACGTGAGTGTATCTAACTCTGTATTCTGCAGCAGCATCTTATTAGCAGAGTCAGGGATACAGGGATGGGATTTGGAGAACAATGACAATTTGTACACACATGTGCATGCCCTCACAGAAGTTCCAGAATCACACTTTCAGTGCTACACAGCTGCAAAGCCCAGAGTGGGATGGGAAACTTGGGGTTGGCAGTGGGCTCTCTCCCTGGCCCAAGACCTCCAGTTCCCTGTCAGGAGGGTGAGCTCACTCTCCCGTCTCGGGGGCCAGGGCCACTTAAGGAGCAATAGGGGGTGCAGAAGAAGAGCCTGAGGGTGAGTGACAGAAGAGAGCCATGATGTTACCGAGGATGGGGACACCTGGCAGAGGCATGTCCATGAGATCTTCTTGCTCTTTAGTGGACTTCCTCTTCAAAGGGCCTCCTGGTGTGAAATTAGTTGACGCCAAGGTGGTACAAATGACAAATTCTTCCCAGATGGCTGGTTTGTAAACCATCAAGGTGACCTACGTGGATGAGGCTGCTCCACAGGGAGGGTCAAGTAGGAAGTAAACAGCAGTGGGGCGGGACGTCCCACCCTAGAGCTCCCATGAAGCAGCAGGACTTTTGAGACAGAGGCCACTGAGTGCCCTCTGGAGAGGAGCCCCAGGTCACCCACATCCTTCAGCCCTTCCTCTCTTGTGACATTTTCTCATCTGTTGCTTAGGACTTCTCTGTCTCCAAGGTACCTAAAGGGACCTAACATTTTACATGCTTGCACGTGCAGACACACACACACACACACACACACACACACACACACACACCCCACTGAAGAAGGATGGGCCAGTTCAAAGAAGCTGTTGCAAGGAATCCCAACACAGTAACACTAAAGACCTTCCTGCCTGTCATGCTAAGAGACACATGAGCCTGTCTTGAGAGGCACTATTAATATGCCCACTTTGGGGAGTTTCATGAGCAAACAGAGGCACTAGAATTAAGCAGTTCTTCCAGGTGTTGTGGACATGGGGGTCCCCCTGGACACGCTCTCCCCCCAGAACTGGTGTACCCTGAAGTTGCAGTGAGGGGCGCTGCTGGCAGCTCATCCTCTTCTCTGGGAAGAGCCCTTGGCTCCGTGCGGTGTCTGTTCCCCAAAGACTCCTGAGAGACCAGACGAAACTGGTTCTCAATCAAGGCAGTCAGTGCTGGCGGTCAAGCTGAACTCCCCTCCTGTTTTAACCTGCTGCCCTCCCTCCTTCCGTGATCACCTCCTACACAGATCACTTCCACACAAAGCCCAGGCTCTGCTTCCAGGGACTCAACCTAAGATACCTGGTCACACAGGTAGGAAGTGGTGGCACCAGGCCTGACCTTAGGCTCGACCCCTCCCCTTGTGCACTGGTCCCCAGGCTGAGAAACAAACCCCACCAGTCCTGAGCTGCCTGAGCTTAGCCTCCAGCATCAGCTCATGGGGAAAAGTCATGCAGTTTGCAAGCAAAAGGATGTGAGGAGACATGCAATCTTCAGTCACTGAAGCAGCTGTTGTGCATTCCAAGAGCAGAAGATTAAGAGACAAGAAAGACCCACTTGGCATACCGACTTCTGCTGTGAGAATGCCGCGTCTTGCTTGGAAGGTCGACATTGCCCCTGACGCTGACCCCTGGGTTGCCTGGAGTCTCCTACACCCATACACCTGCCTCAGCCCACCCTCACTCACCCTGGTTTCTCAGAGACCTCGCTGCCCCACAGATCCACTCTTCATACC